ATTCTGGTAACACAAGTTGTTGAAGAACCGAAAATCGTTAATTGCCAAGTGGATGATACCTTTGATGAGGATTCCTTCGGGATTTGATTAACTGATCAACGATAAGTTAATCAATCCCGAAGGATCTTATCATCAAAGGTATCATCCACTTGGCAATAACCGAATTTTCGTTCCAACAACTTTGTTAGCAGAGTTTTAACTCATTCTGAGTTCTTAAACTCGTTAAGAGTCTTAATTAAGCTTGCAACGCAAGTGTAATCACATCGAAAGCGCAGACATCCGGTTTCAAACAACTGCTATCAGCAGTCTTAACTCGTTCAAGTTCTTCAACACTCGTCAAGAGTTCTAAAACCGAAGTCATCAAACACTTCAGTTATTCCAGTGAAGAAAGGACGGCTCGGATGCATCAACGGAGAGCAGTTCGATCGCGCAGTCAATCGAAGGAAGCACTCCTCGCTACCAATGAAAGAACCCAGTCTAACAAAAGGAGAGATCAAAATCCATTCTCTTCTCTTTGTAATCGGAATTCAAATTGTAATCGATTTTGAGAGAATACAAGTCAAATTTTCTTTCTTTGTCTTTTTACATCAAATTTCCTACAAACAAGTCTATTCAGTATTTTATTGAATAGATGATATTTTCTGGTGCTGCGTTTATCGTCTAACTGTTTACTAAAATCTTGAACTGAAGTTGATGCTTAAGTTTCTAAACTTAGCTCTTGTCATTGAGTTGACTTTGAACTGATCATCTTTGTCAGGAATTCTCATATGAATGTGATTAAACTTCCCAGAATCATCCGTTGATCTAGAATTTTTCTTAGCCTTATTTCGGTGAAATTGTCGATGCGTTGACCGGCATCGACCCTTACTGTAATGCGCTGACCGGCTTTAACTTTTGCTATAACACGTTGTTCGGTATTAACACAGTTTATACTCCTACGTTTACTAGAGTCTAAACAGTTTAAGCTATTAAAGCATTGGAGCATGACGGTTCCAACTGTTGGGGTTGCATGACCAACTGTCAATGCTGATTCATCTGCATGTATGGATCTTATTCTGAGGTTGTTGGATGCTCAAGTAATGAGACTAACTAATGAATCTGGTGTGTCAATGACTCTTGAATTTTTACGATTTTTGGCAAATCCTCAGCCATCAACGGATTTGATAAGCCATTACCGACTACCGTTTTAGTCGGGCTACATACTAATTATTTAAGCCCGTTCCATATGTAATGTTATGCTAAAAGAGTTAACTCTCGTAGTGCTAAGATATTGAATACGTAGACTTCGTCTTTCTCACAGGAATAGACTACCTAGCAACGCATGTTAGGCGCTGACTTATTCTTACTAAGGCTTCGGGATAAAAGTCCCCATGCTTAGATTCTGGTGTTTTTTTCACTTGGAGAAAGAATAAACCGGCAGCGCGTGTTAGGCGCTAACTTATTCCTATTTAGGATTCGGGATAAAATTCTCCGCACATATAAGGCACGAATTTTTGGTGTTATGAATAACAACCTGTCATAATATCGAATATGTGGGCTTTTATCCTTTTTTTAGGTTAAAAACTAACCGGCAACACGTGTTAGGCGTTGACTTATCCCTACTTAGGCTTCGGGATAAAATTCCCTAGAGATGAATTCTGGTGTCTTTTTCACTCGGTGAAAGACAAAACTGGCAATGCGTATTAAGCGTTAACTTATCCCTACTTAGGCTTCGGGATAAAATTCTCCACGCGTGTAAGGCACGGATTACAGGAGTTTAAAAAAAGCGGTGTCTTCTCTTGGGGCAAAGACGAACCCGATACTGGAGAGGAAAAATTTTATATTCTATCTTCAGTTGGAAAGGAAATTCAAAGTGGGATCTCCACTCTGAGAATTAGGAAGATTCGGATAATCCTAACTGTCAGAAGGTTTGATTACCAAACTAAAGGTGAGTTTCTCGTTTATCGAGAGTGAATTACGGTTTTAGCCCTAACTATAGGAAGGTTTGACTAAGTGGGAGGTTTTAGATGACCCTAACTGTAGGAAAGTTTGATCGCTATATTTAAAAATGGACCTCTCGTTCATGGAAGGAATCGAGAAGAGATTTTGGTTGTGGTCCTAACTGTAGGAAGGTTTGACCAAGATAAACAGTGGGAGTGGGAGTATAAATTATAGTGGGAGTATTGACTTGTACAAATCACTCAGTAGAGGTTCTTGGTGTCAAGTGATAAGGACTTAACACGAAGGGGTTTGATAATTATCAAAGATTAGCAGACTAAAATTCCAAGTATTATATCTAGACTCTAACAATGGGAGTGGTGAGTGCACAGACACAGCGAGAGGTCGAGTGGATTGAACCAGGAAGAATTTTAGTGGACCCACCGTCAATTAATTTGATCAGTAAGGGATTTTGTGGTAGAGGATTGTGAATCAAATCTAAAAAAAATACCAGTGGGAGTTTTTTTTAGGGAAGATTGATCCAACGAAGTGATAAAATCTCATCTCAGTAAAAGAGTGCTTGAAAATTGGTAAAATTGATCCCAGCAATTGGATGTGTTTCACTCTTGGAAGCATTCAGAGTCCAAGTAGGAGTTTCTTATTCATCACTTTTTTATAATGACCAGGTTATCCCTAAGAATACAACATATAGCATTCTTCTTGGAACTTCCCGTTACATGAAGTATCCACCCCCAGTTTCTGGGCCTAATACTAAACTAAGTTGCATGATTAGGTTATCCTTAAAAAAAATTCTCTAGGAACTTTCCATTCAAGGGTAGAAAACAGTTTAGACTCATATACCTATTGGAGTATGCAGGGAGCAGTTTAACCTTATGCACCTGTTAGAAAAATAAGAAGCAGTTTATACTCGTATACTCTTTGGAGTCCTTATTCAGCTTATTTTAGCATTAGGACGCCAGCTTTAACCAAGGCTTGGATACTATTTTTAAGAGTGAAGCAAATCTTGGTGGGATGAAGGATCCTTCTGTGGTACACACAGTACTTTGGATCCAAAGTATTATCAGCTCTCTCCTGATTTGTGATAGGCGGGAGCTTGATCTTGTTTTTTTCAAGGAGGGATTGAAAAATGGCTGGAACGTCTTCGTCCTTGAAGGAGTACTCTTTTTAGAGTCTCAGATCCAGAGTCCTTCGTTGTCTCTGGGTTTGCTATTATGACGCCTGATTAACATCAACAGCTGCTGTGGGTGCCTTCCCCTTATCACGGGAGGCGAAGTTTGAGTTTGGAGGGTTAGCCGTCGGTTAGCTTCTCTCGGCTTTCTTCCTTCAGAGGAAGCGTTCAGCCTGCTCTTCGTGCACCTTCAGCTCTTTTGAAGTCTTGGACGGTGTTACTCCCATAACTTCCAGGATATCGATGGACATGTTGTTATGATAGGTTTGGAGGATGAATTCCTCTTTGACCGAATCTCGGCAATTCATCGCCTTATTTCATAAACGCTTGACGAAATTGTCGATCGTCTCTTCGTCTTTCTGTTTCTCCTCAAAGAGCGTCCTGATTGATACCTCAATGTCATCATCAAAGAAATTGCCGAGGAATGTGCTTTTGATATCGTCCTAGATATTGATGCTTCTAGGCTTGAGACAGCGGTACCAATCGAAGACAGGCCCGCGAAGGGTGCCAACGAATGACCAGACCATCAAAGGCTCATTGCCAGAGATTACACCCAAGTGAGACTTGAAATAAACCAAGTATTGAGTGGGTGAACCTCTCCCATCGAATAGTGTGAAGTTAATTAGGGTGAACTTTGCCGGGTAGGGGATTGAATCCCACTCTCTTGGATATGGGCACGGAATATTGGTCTTCTTCACCTCCTAAATAGACATCAAGGCATTGATTTTGCTTTCGAGGTCCTTCATCTTCTTATCCTCGCTCGTATCTTTCCTTGGTCGATTTCGAGGAGGAACATCATGACCACCCCTGGTATTGTCATCATCGATGGGACTACCCCCAGCATCGTTATCTTTAGTAAGACCACCTTGAGTGTTTTGGTCAACGGGAGGGTTATCTGCATTAAGGTGTTCGTCCATGTCTTAATCACCACCTGCTTGATAGGCATTGTTGTGATGACTAGATTCACTGATTTGACCTAACAAAACTTGGATCTGTCGGTCATGCTCTTCCTTCATTCGCAACATAGCCATTTCTATTTTGAACTTGAAGTTCTCCTTCTGCTTAGCCAATGTATCTTTAAGAATCTTGGTCATTTGCTTGGTGTTGATTATAAATGCCTCGCGGGATTATCCTGGGCTGGACATCGTATTGTTAGAAGTGACTGCAGAGTTGGCATCTGATGCTTCATCATCCGAGGATAATCCTCTATTCATCCTCCGATAGTCCTTACGTCTAATAGTCCCTACACTGAGCTGAGTTAGACGATGCGATATGAGGGGTTCAAAATTAGAAGGTCGAGTTGACTTTCCCTTATCAGTCATATTAATTATGACTTTTGGAAGTTCGTCATCTTGAACGGCTGATTGTTTCTTATGAAAATGCCTTGGCTTGGTTTTCGACACTTCAGAGGAAAGCCTTTGGAATACAGAGACCCTCTGTAAAGAGGTCTTAGGGTAGCTACACACTGATAATATTGCCCTGATAAGTTTGGCACACGGACAATGAAAATCCGTCTCCCGGGTATCTCTCTTTCGAGATCTGTTTGTACCCCTAACCCGATAGTATAACTCATCGACATGATTACCGGAGCAACCTATCGTGTATTGGCATAACTTCCCAAGTATAACATTGTCGTCAAATGAACACATTTCCTTTTTAGGTTTTGATGCTTTGTTGGTGTTCTCAAGAATCAGACATTTAGAGCCACGCCTTCGTGAGCACGGGATCTCAATAGGCTCTTGGACAATGAAACACAGTCCAAGGCGGTCAGGTAAAGGGGTTTTTCCATTATAGGAAGCTTTCAAATTGTTGTGAGGGCATGTGCGACCCCCAGCTCAATGAGTTACTCGGGGTTGGTATATCGGGCCCAAGCGTTCTTTGACTAGGGATTTACCTTGATCCTCGTGCAAAAGAACAAGGCTATCCGCCATTACTTTCTAGCCTATGGATAAGTCCACACTGTCGTGGGGCTTGACCGAAGGTGCAGGATCGATTGGAGCGGAGACGGAACTCGACGAATCCAGAAAAATGGGCGCGGGGGAATGTCTGGCTCGGCCCTACTGTGGGTCACCTTGGGGTGACTCATGTTTTTCGATCTTTTTGGCCGTTGTTTTGAGCTTCAGCCTTTAGACTTGGCGTGGTTTTACTGGTTCCTTAGCCACCTCTTGCTTCTGCAACTCTCGGGCCTTCTGCACAAGAATTCACACACGCGCAAGGAGTGCGTGGCGCTTTTGGATGCGCTCCTCAAGGGTTAAACGGGTCCTTTTGACTTGGATCTATTTGTTTGTTGCTGGTTTGGAGGAGGGGCCGTTTGCTCGCTATTGAGACACTCAATGCTCCTTGAATTTCAGATTCGCTTCGTAACGGATCCCGTCTACAGGCTCCAAAGCCTTGACAAATTGACGCGTGAGGCGTTGGCACTGTCTTTGGCGTGCTCGCTTCGATAAAGTGGGCGCACCTCCAGCGGCTATCTCCTTGATTGAGGAGGAGTCAGATATACAAATCCGGCCTCGTTGGAGGTCGGAGGGGCATTGCAAGGTGAGATTGCCATAGCAACGGGGGCCTTGATCTTTCTGCGCTTACGAGGGGCAGAGGATCTGGAGAAGGAGGATGATAAATATTCCTCGAATTTCTGTTGGTCGAACTCATACTCGACCTCTTCGTCAACTGGGATCTGGATCCCTGGTTGCGGCACTACAGCTTCGGCGGAGAAGCTGTTGGCTCCCACTGTGGTCATTAGCGTGTTTGGTTTAGAAATTGCTATTTTCATTGTCTTGAATCTATTACAACTTCAGTCATTGTAATAAACACAAATAAATAAAAAGTTTATCTTTTTATAAGATCCAAACAACACACAACAGTAGTTTATCTCTTGTTGCTTGCGTGGGATATTTTCATATGCTGGGATTTATCCGTAGACTGCCACGGATCAGATCCGGTTGATCGAAAGGCTAGAAATTTGTTGCTTCACCAAGGAAACAAGAACATAAGTGATAATCTCGACCAAACGAGATTATGACTCTTCTCGAGATCAAGTCCAATCCTGATCTCAAGGAATTAGTGAACGAGGCTTCAGATCTCTCGAAATCCACTCTTTATGCATAGGAAATCGCCAATATCTGCTATACTTCACTAAAATTCGTGGCTCTTGGCTCTACAATTCGGCAGCACCTCCTCCTCTTTGATTAAAATGTACCCCCGTGAAAGAAGGCCCTAGACTTGTATTTATAGGGTTTCGGATGCAGGATATTTGGATAAGAACAAAGGATTTGGCCCTATCTTCAGTTGACAACGGTCTAACCATGTTTAGAGATAATATCAAGGTAGTTGGGATGCTTTGGAATGAATAAATTCCAAGAAAATAGCAAAAAATACGTTTGAAACGTTTCGGGTGCGAGTCACCCTAAGGTGGCTCGGCTTGGGCCGAGTCACCTTAGAGTGGCTCGGCCTTGGTCGAGTCACCTTAGGGTGACTCGGCTTTGGCCGAGTCGCCTAGGCATGGCCGAGTCGTTTTGATGCGGCTCGGCCACCAGGGTCTTCCGGACTTGTATTTTTCTCTGACGTTTTGCATATCTTGTCGTTTCATTGACTTGAACGCTTCGCTGACTAGCTTCATGCTCTCGTTAGCTTCTTTACGGCTTTTAGTGATCCCGTTTGACTCAAATGATGATATTCATTGTCTTCTCTTCATCTTGAGCTGTGTACGAACATCTATAGGTATTTTTAGACGCCTACACTTCTAGCTTAATATAAGTTTCATACCTAAAAGATCGACTTCGATCTTACCCACCATGCCACTCTAAGGTTGCACCCTGACCTCAAGGCAATATCTTATCTTTGGGATGACGTGAACAGTTGAATGTCTGCACTTACGTAGGTTAGACTATAGGTCATCATTCAACCTTAATCAGTTAGCCTTCTTGCTATGGTATTGTGTGTCTATATGCTCCAAATATGTCTTTCGGAAATAGCATAGATGGAAATGCTTAACCCCAAATCATATGTGTGTAAATATAAATATTTTAAATAAAGACACTATTTTCTATCCTCTTTATAAGTGAAATGGTACTCCATTCCTATGTTCAAATTTAATAAAAAAGATTTAGTTTGTTGTTCAATTTATTTTAGTGAGTAAAATGAAAAAAAAAGTGGACAATATTATATAAATGTTCAAACTTCCTCATCCATTGATCGTGAATATCTAATGTCGATTAGGAAATGCCAAAGCACATTATGTTTAAGTGTATAACTTACATCATGCACATTGCAAATATGAAGTTTTACTTTCTATTCGGTTTTGAGAATAGCATAGTCAAAGTAGCACACTGTTAGCTGCACCTAGGGCATGTTTAGCAACTAGAAAGTAAGTAGAAAGTAAAGCAAATCACTTTCTATTTGCATATTTTTTATTAGCAACCGGAAAGTAAAAATGTGGAAAGTTGAGATGGTGGATGACGTGGCATCCATTTAATTAATTTATCTATATTTGGTTTATATGGAAATAATATAGTGAAAAATAGTCAATTTTAAACCATCGTTAGCAAATACAAAGTTAAATAGCAATATATAGCAACCATTGTAAGCTAATATTATCTTAAAAATTCATAAAGAAATATACATAATTGAACTAAAGTCAAAGAACAGTGAATTAATTTTCTAGACCACGTATTTAAAGAGCTTTGTAGAATTCTAATGATGTTAAAGTACTATTATTTCAATGCATTCGAGGTGCTTTGCGTAGTATTTTATTTGATCTTGGTATTGTTGATTTCTAATGATGCTAAACCATGAGAATAGAGTTTCTCATATGTTAGGCTCTTCTTTAAAAGTAGTAAACTTATATAGGAAGGTGTATGTAGATGCAATCATGTATTATATTTCATCGAAGAAGTCCAAAAGTGGAGGCCATTATGAAATCTCATATACATGTAGTTGGATGAGAAAAGTGTTGGATAGCAGGTTCCTAATATGTTTCCTAATTAGTTTTGGTAACAGGTTATTAGGATTCCTAATCTATTTTGTTTTTTGTTTTAGAATTCCTAGTATGATTATGATTGTAGGATTTCTATATATATGGAATAATTGGAAGAGAGAATTAAGAAGAAAATTAGGGATATTTGGAGTACAGAAAAGATGTATTTTCTGAGCTATTGGTTAGGGTTTTGTTTAGAGAGAATTAGAGATTTGTTAGTGAGATTAATTAGTGAGTTTGAGTGATTTGTAATCTTAGTTTTTACTCTTCTTCTCTATTAGTAAAAATCTCTATCCTCTTCTTACCCCTTGGACGTAGGCAACTTACCGAACCACATTAAAATTAGTTTTTTATGTTTGTGGCATTGATTTGGTCCGTTTGACCTTCTCTCGACATTCGTTTGATTTGATTTCTTGTAGCACATTGCTTTGGTTGTTTGGCTTCCGCAGTGCTCAATAAGAGGTATCAGAGCTCGGGCTACGCTTGGGCTATTTGGAGGAGTAGATCATTTTGGAGGCTCACCTAGGGCTTCGTTTGGTGATAAAGGTGAGATCTTTTTGGTAAAGACTCTATCTTTTTTTAGTTTTGAATCAATTCTTTATTTGTTCCGCATTTGTTTTGATGCTTTAAGAAAGATGGTCGGGAAAGAAGGAGTTATAGAGGATACTTCCGGTGTGAAGACGGTCCAAAGTTTGAATATCTATTCTATAAAGATAGATGTGGAGAAGTTTAATGACACAAATAATTTTGGTCTTTAAAGATATGAAGTTTTGGATGCGTTCAATGCGCAAAGTTTGGAAGATACTTTGGAGTTGGACGGAAAACCGGATGACATTGAGGGGAAGGTTTGGAAAAAGATTAATATAACGGCATGTGGTGTGATAAGATCTTGTTTGACTCAAGATTTAAAATATGATGTGATCAATGAGACTTTGGCTAAGAAGATTTGGAAGATCCTATAGGGAAAGTATTTGACCAAGAGTGTAGAGAATGCTTGCATTTGAAGAGGATGATCTATCGCTTCCAATTGAAGAAGGGGACCTCCATTGGTGAGCACATGAACCACTACACGAAGCTTCTTACAGATTTGGCGAATGTAGATATGATGATTTAAGATGAGGACAAGGCGTTGTTGTTGTTGAGTTCCTTGCCTGACGAGGAATATGAGACCTTCGTTCTTACTCTTATTAATGAGAAGGCATCTCTTTCTTATAGTGAGGTCACTACTGTACTTGTGAATTATCAGCTTTGAGGTGTTCACTATATCGGGATCTTTATACCCTCAGCCATTATGATTTCAGGCCAGAGATTTGCAAGGGCAGTGCTTTCTTAGGAGCTTTATCAGTACAGTCGTCTTGGAGAGATAGAGTAGTTGGAGCCCAGTTAGAGGATTCTTGGACTCAAACCCATAAGGGGGAGATTTCCAAGGAGCCTAAGGATGATTGGATTATTGGAGTAGATGGAGGCCTTCGGATGAAGGGTAGGATTATCATGCCGAATAATCTACAACTGAAGAGAGAACTTTTTGATGAGGCACATCATAGCAGATATACAGTGCATCCAGGCACGACAAAAATGTATAAGGACGAAAAGAGACATTTTTGGTGGAGTGGTATGCGTAGAGAGATTTCAGAGTATGTGGCTAAGTGTTTTACCTGCCAGCAAGTTAAGGCAGAACATCAGGAACCTATAGGAACCCTACAGCCTTTACCTATTCCTAAGTGGAAGTGGGCAGATATTTCTATGGATTTCATAGTAGGATTGCCTAAATCAAAGAAAGGAAATGATTTTGTTTGGGTCATAGTGGACAGATTGACAAAGTCGGTGCAATTCTTACTCGTGAGGACAACTTATACGGTGGATACATATGCGAGGATTTTTATTCGAGAGATTGTCAGATTGCATGGAGTTTCAGAGACGATTATATCAGATCGGGGCTCAGTCTTCACATCCTATTTC